CTAAAATTTGAAAATTTATTGTACTAGTTATAATTCATAATAAAAAGTCCTAAAACAACATTTTCAAGATATCTTAAAAATAAAATTTAAAATAATAAATGTTCAATGTGCAACAAAATTATACATGCATCATTGTCTAAGGTTTGATACTCATGTGTTCATATTCATGTTAAATATCTTGTATATATGTTAATTTTGTTTATCTTAGCATATGCATTCATGTTCATATAATAGAAGATTTGATGCAATAGATTGTTAAAGTGCACCATAAGTTTTATTATATGGGCCCGACTTTTTGTTCTATTATGATTCTGGTTCTAGCCTCATATACTTTAAGTTTAAGTGGATGTGAGAGGCCATTTCTGACCTTATATGCTTTTATGTGTATGTGAGAAATTTAATGGAGTTATAATTGAAAGTAGAGTTATAAGGAGAAATCAGACTGGTCAACTTCACTTAGTGGGGGATAAGCTTGAGAGGCATAAGTAAAAGTAAAGTTATAAGCATACATCATATGTTGCATGTTCTATTAATGAATTAAAGTTTAAATTAAAAAAATATTTATTGATAAGTACATTGATATTTATGTATAAGTACATGTTGATACCTCTAAAAAGATACAAATGAAAGTAAGTACACTCTTATACATCTATGAAAGGTATAAATGAGCATGTATTGTTAACCTGCACATACTGACATCTATGTGAAAGTGTAAGAAAAAGTACATATGAATGTTTAAAATGCTTAAATTCAAGTATCAAGTCCTAAGAAAGTTAAATTTTGATACTTGTTACTAGTTTATAAAAAGTTATGTCTACATTTTTAATAAGTAAATGCTATTTTATGTCTGTTTAAATTTAATATTTAAATTAATATATTATTTATACATTGTAAATTTATATAGATATAAATAATTAGAATTGGGATATCCTACTGGCATGTGAAGTTCACTTTGTTGTTTACAAAGTTTAAGGAAATGAGAATGACCCAATAGAGTAGAGCTAATAAATACAGGATCGTTAGAAGTTTTGCCTTAAGGTATTTTGTAATCCAATTATTTTCTTTTGATCTATAAAATTTACTTGAACTAGATTATTTGTGTTGAGGCTACATTTTTATACATCAAAAGAAAATAAATGGATTACAAAATACCTTAAGGCAAAACTTCTAACCATATATAAGATCTTTGGAAATGGAACTTAGATGATCTTTTATGTTATTTCAATTGCTTTGGATTATTCAATCAGCTCCAGAATATGTTATATTGCGGTTGAGAATATTAATTTTAGGATTTAATTATTTCATCAGACTATGAGGTGTGACAATTATTTATCCTAAAAGGTGAAATATACATATCATTGAATCTAAGGACATCATAAATGACAAAGTTCAACATAACTTAAGTGGCTAAAATTTAAGTCCTCTTTCTAAGATCAAAACAGGCTAATCGATCTTATATATGCATTGAGGCTACGTTTTTATGATTTTAAAAGCAATTTGTTGGGTTTAGTTTGTCATATTTTCCAAGTAGGACTGTAAAATCGAAGGTTAGGCTGACTTAACCTTATATGAGGTTTCAAATTTATAAGTCCGGTGCATTTGAGTTAATATTTCTTGGTGATTATCACCATAGATCCAGAATTTGAGGCTAATGTTCTTTTCAATTACATCATAACCCCTTATATTCCTACGCATTTTCTTGATCATATGCACCAACTTTTTAAAGCAAATTAATCAACTTCAACACAAAATTAATTTTAAAATATAAAACGCAACATATGATAGTATTGAGTACTTCTAATTTTCTTAGAATCAAGTACTCTTATTCTTTTTTTCATTTGATTTATACTCATCAATTTTAGCTGCTCCATTCATCCATAAATTTCTAAATACCAACTATTTAGTATGAATTTCTAAAAAAATGTATGAATTATTAGCATGTTTTGATAGAAAATAGAAATAATTATTTTAATTAAAGTTTTAAGGGTAAATATTATTGTGATATAACTAATCATTGGAGTTTGCCTTTATGTGGAACCAACATCCTAGAATTAAATAAATCATATTAAATTATATATATTGTGTAGGAAACAAAATGTATGAATATATAAAATAAAATGTAAGTTTTTTGTTAGTAAGTATGTAGCAAAAAAATCTTTGGGATAATGCATTATTTTCTATGTTGTACTCGATCACAAAATATTTTAAATTTATCGATGATAGAAAATTTTCCCGTAAATTATTAAGCGGCATATAATCTGTTCTTGAATTTTTTCCTATGTAGCATGTACAAATAAGATGTGAATTTCTAAAATAATGGTTTGGTGACCCTCTTGCATATATGATTGCTTTCTTGTAACACCGCCATACATTTCATAAGACAAATTAATATTGTAGTTCATCTTTGCCTTCAATATGATAGTTTTTTGCTTTAAATTATAATTAAAACACATAATTTTTAGTATCTTGCTTTATTGCTCATAGTCTTACAATACATGAAGAATCATAAAATCTCACTTATTTACTAGTTTTAGGTATGTTATAAACTAGGATTATACTCTAGTATTGGAGTTTCTATGGAGCCACTATATTGCACAATTCGTACGTTCACAATAACACCTCCCTCTATATATGGTATATTCAAAGTATCATTTACTTTTGTATGTGATATGTTAACATCTTCACTTATACCAACATATATATTAGCAGAAACAAATTAGAATATGTTGTATTAACTGCTTGTACACGTGTAAACATACCACTGGTCATATGTTACCTACAGCGGTCCTCCTAAGGCCTATATATAATAGGCTACTGTATCATAGTTGAGATATACAATAATATTTTCTTTCTGTCTTTACTCTCTGGCCTTTGTCTTCTTCCTTACGCCTCATCACTTTCTACAATATATATAATAAAAAAGTGAGTAATTTGTAGCAGCCTCACCTACATAAATATTTTCAGTTGTAAGATAGAAGGCATTTTAGTTTGGACATATTACTCCAATATACTAAATAATAGTCGCATTTTATCGACTTCACCAATTATTAGGAATATAAAGTCAAATTTTCTTCACATTATTACATAGTTAGAAATAAGAATGTTTCATTTAATTATATTTTTGATAATATCATTCAAATCATAAAACACAATAAAATCATAACTTTATCTTAAATTTTCAATATATTGATATTGATAAAGATAAATTTGTTAGTTTATTAGTTTCTATTACATTATATTTATGTAAGTAATAGATATGCTTATATTATGTGCATTTTTTTTCCTATTTTGCTTTAAATTTATGAGGATATGTGGCAATAGTAGATATACTAATTTTTTTTCTAAAATTTCCTGTTATCATATGTTTAATATAGTACATAAGTAATGATCCATAAAGTTATAAGGAAAAAAAATTTCAGACCTATTTTGACAAATTCAATTGTGAAAGTGGGTCATAGATATAAATTTAAGTAATATTAAGAACACATAATTAATGTAAATACTAAATAAGTTTAATAGAATCGTTAACTCATTCATGGCCTTGTAAACTTAGAGGTGATTAATCAACTTATTAAGGCTTCGTTTGTGATTGTTTTTTTACTGCTTCTTAAAGTAGTTTTCAATTATAAAAATTAAAATTTTTTACTAAAAATATTCTTTAAGAAGTAGTAAGAAAGTCGTTTATGAATGTATCTTATGCGTTGTAGTTTTTATTTTACTCTATTATATAACGTGTCACTCCTATGTGATATACCTTTTTGTTATAAATATCTTTATGTCATATATATCATGACAACTCTTTTATGTGCTACATTATTTTGTCTTGCACTTCTAGCATCCTCGAGCAATATTTAATCCATCTTCAACATGTCTGGTCAAGTTCAAAACATATTTATATAATGATCTATTATGTTGGACCAATAATCAAAACACGATCAAACCTTATGTATTTAGGATTCATAGTAGGTCATCAAAATATTAATATGAATTTATCATTAGTTATAACATAGTTTGAAACATGGGTTGAAGATGATTAATCATACTTGAACAATGATTAGAATATGATCGAAGTATTAGGGTTCATGCTTTATTGTAAGTAATATGAATACAAGCATGTATTGATCATGATTGGAAGCATGATTTGCAATATGGTTCGAAGATGATCGATAATAGTTTGAAGCAACTTGAATTGATGATCAAAATATGATCAAAACTTTAGAGTTTAGAGTTTAGAGTTTATAATGGTTATTCTAATATGATTACATGACTATGAATCTATTTGAAGTATAATGTGGTGCATCATAAAGCTCATATGGTTGAAAGGTCAAGTGATACTACTAAACAAGTGTTCTATCTATTTACCAAAAAATTGATATATTTTAATTTAAAAAATCTCAAATTATTATTATTTTTATTATGGGGCATAATTGCATAAGCCAAATTTCCTAACCACTTTATTTACATGCAATGCATATAATTTTATTTTATGCTATTTACATATCTAACATCTAAGATTTTAATATTACATGTCTATCACTAATATAAAATTTTAATATCAAATCTATCACTTATATATTTTATTCTTCTCACTCATATAATGATATAAATTGTAATATTTTATTCCGTTCACTTATATTTATTTTATGGATGATAAACGTGTAAAATTAAAAAAGGAGATTTACATACATACCATAGAATACTATTTTATTTACATATTTAACATCTAAAACTTTAATAGTACATACATACCACTCATAGTTCATTTTCATATCAAATCTGAGTGGTAGAAATAAAATATATAAGTGATAGGAAAGAAATATAAGTGATATATTTGATATTAAAATAATATAGGATGATATGCATGTATTAAAATTTTAGGTATTAGAAATATAAATACTTAAATAGTATATTATAAAGTGATATGTATGTAAATCTCGCTATTAATAAATGTAAATATTAGTTATGTAAATTGAATGAAATAAAGCGGTATGTATGTAAAATAAAAAAGAGCGGAGTGAATCGTTTGCGAACTCCTATGACGCAACTTCGCGGTCAAGCATGGAATCTACCTCGAGGCTCTGTGATCTCATCTCCGCCCATCTCCGCCCCTACCTCGTTCGTAACATCTCTCCCGCATAATCATTGTTTTAGATTGATATTGCTTATCTAGGGCTTACGCACTCATTACGCAGGACCCCCAACCTGCTCGCTTGGCTAAGGAGACCGAGAGAGCTCTACTCCTCTCTCTTACCATGGTAATTTATATTTCTACCTGCTTTGTCCCTTCTCTCTTGCGTAAGGATTCTTTGGACTGAGTGATTGCTATCACTCGCAGGTTCGCCGAGAAATCCAGCAGTGGATGACCAAATCGCCTAGTGAACCCGAGGATGTGTTGTGCCAAAACTTGACTATGATGTTTCGTTAATACACTTTTTTAAGATAGCAAACAAAATTAAAGTACTATACCTTTGTCTGGATTGCTTGACTTCATATAAATTATGATATTATGTAATACTTGGAAACTGCGCTGGCCAGCTTAGGGTTTTGCTATAGCATGGTCTCTTAACCTCAATTCTGATAATTTCTGTAATAGTAGTTTTCTTTCCTGAACGTTTTTGTCCTTTTACACTTGTGTCAGATGGGTGGAGGTTCATACCTTAATCACTGTTGTCACGACTCTTCGCTGCAAACATTTGTGGGAGCACACCGATGCCTTTGCAATATCATCTCTGCAATGGTCTGTTAATTGCTCCGTTTTGCTTTGTTCATTAAAAATTCTATTCCTGTACTCTCTTTGTATGTTTCGCTACAGCATTTTCTATTAGAATGTTGCATGTTATTTTGTGAGACATGTCCATACATTTTTTTTTGCTTATGCTTTGTAGAATGAAGGGCTGACAGTATTCTGTATGTCTTCATGTACCCCGAATGGCCTCTAACCGCACTCCCATGGAACTCTTGCAGTAGGTGGGGAATATAGATGGACGTTCGTGGCATCACAAACCTCCCTTAGTACAATAGCCTCTCTCCCTCTAGGGAGTAGACTGGGTGGTTGCTGCTTTCCTGTAGCAAATCCATCTGAATCTTCTTCAATTCGTTGTCTTGCACACTTTCTTCCTTGATAACCCCCAATCCACCATTCGAGGTTCAAAAATAGTCATCTCCTAAAGCTATTCCCCACACCTGGATATGGCATATGCCGCCTTATTCTCTAACCCTGATCGATACTTGATTTCAAAATCGTATCCCAAGAGTTTGGACAACCATCTATGATGTTCCTAGTCATCATCCTTTACTCCAACAGATACTTCAAACTCCTTTGATATCTTCTGGCGATGAAATGCCGACACAGCAGGTATGGACGCCACTTATGAATGGCTAATACAATGGCCATCAATTCCCTTTCATACACATACTTCAGCCTATCTCTAGCTGTCAACACCTGACTGAAGTAGGCTATAGGTCTATGATTATGCATCGACACTACACCAACCCATATCCGGATGCATGTTACTACCAAAAAAGTCTGACCAAAATATGATAAAGCTAATACTGGTACTGTGGTCATGGCATTCTTCAGTCTCTCAAAAGCCTGGCTAGCCGCTTCTCCCCACAAGAAGCTATCATTCTTTAACTGCTCTGTTAGAGGCCAAGCTATGTTGTTGTACCCCTTCACAAACCTCCGATAGTATCCCGTCAATCTTAGGAAATCCCTCAGCTCTCTCAAATTCCTAGGTAAATGCCACTTTTGCATTGCCTCAATTTTGGCTTGATCGGCTGCCACCCCTTCATGTGATACCACGTGCCTCAAGTACTCCACCTTAGCTTGCACGAAGCAGCACTTCTTCAGGTTGGCTTTTAACTGATGCTCCTGTAGAACTTTAAAGACCACCCTCAAATATCCCAGATACTCTTCGGTTTTGCTGTACACCAGTATGTCATCAAAGAAAACTAGGACAAACTTTCGAATATACGGCTGAAACACCCTGTTCATCAGGGACTGGAAAGTGGCAGAGGCGTTAGTGAGCCAAAATGGCATCACCAAAAGCTTGTAATGCCCCTTATGTGTCCTGAAGGTCGTCTTATGAATATCTTCATCTTTCATTATAATTTGATGGTAGCCCGATTTCAAGTCCAACTTAGAAAACACCACAACTCCATACAACTCATCTAGTCGCTCATCAATTACAGGAATAGAAAACATATCAGACATAGTCTCCTTATCCAGGGCCCCGTAATCCACACAAAATCTCTGGCTCCCTTTCTTTTCTTGACCAGTAAAACTTGACTAAAGAAAGGACTCACTCTCGGCCTGATGATCCATGCCTCCAACATCTCACAAATCAGCTTCTCTATCTCATCTTTTTGAATCTGATGGTAACGGTATGATCGAACACTGATCGGTGACACCCCTTCCTTCAAGGTAATGTCATGCTCCAGCTCCCTTTATGGGGGTATACCTTGGGGTGGTTGAAAAACACTCTTGAACTGCTGAGCGGTTGTACTGACAAAGGAACGTCTCCCTTTGCCTCCAATGCCACCACTTTTAGGCTTTGGAGTTCCACCAGAATCCATCCCCACCTCCTGTATAGTCCTGAAAATAGTCTTGAGAGACACCATGGCTCTAGATAATCCTGCATCTCCCTGAATCACCATCCTCCTTCCCTCTACCTCCAGTTCCATCCTCAACGCTCCCCAATTTACCTTGGTATCTCGCATAGTCTGCAACTACTTCATCCCCAGGATGACGTTAATGCTTCCTAATTCCAAGGGAAGGAAATCCTCCATCACCTCAATCCCATGAATAGTCAACATTACTCCCCTACATATTCCTCTATCCATCTCCACCTTTCATGTGCCTATCATCACCCCATAACCTCCGGTGTCCACTAATTTCATCCACAATAGATTAACAATTTGATTGGAGATGAAATTGTGGGTGGCCCCACTGTCGATCAGCACCACCACCTTCATATCAGGTCTCTCTCCCTTCACTTTCATGTTGTGATTTGGGATGAATTCCACCACGGAGTTCAGAGAGACTTCCGCCATGTCCAGATGCAGCTTCTCCTCTTCCACTAGCCTATTTTTACCTCCCTCTTCAGCTTCCTCGTCATCACAGACGGTGAGAACCTGAAGAGTTCAGTCCATGCACCTATGCCCGACGTGTATTTCTCGTCACATCTGAAACACAACCCCCTTGTCATATTTTCTTGTATCTCTTTCTCAGTAAGCCTCTTGAAATTTTTCCCAGATCCTCCTTCTCCAGTTTTCTTCTTTGATACTTCCCTCAGACTGATTGGTACAGGACCCTTGAGAGCTAAAAAGGTGCTGGTCATTCTATATGACCCCCCAAATTGCTTCCCCTCTAGGTACTTCTAGTCCTCTATCAATTGTGCTTGCTCCATGACCTCCCCCAAATCACGTGGCCTCACAACTCTAACTGCTGCTCGGATATCTGGTTTAAGCCCTTTCATAAAGTTTCCCTCTAGCACTGTCTTTGAAAGTTGGTCTAGCCTTCTGGCAAGATACTCGAATCTGTTACGGTAAACTGCTACGGTCCCCTTTTGTGTCAGGGTGAAGAATAGTTCATAGAAGTCTCTTCCCCTAATGGTTTGGAAACGTTCTAATATGCAATCATTGAACTCCCTCCAATTTCGAATGGGTCGCCTCATGTCCCGCCATTGGTACCAAGCTAGTACTTTCCCTTCTAAACACAGTACACAGTCTATCCAATGTTAGTTTCTCCTCCTCTGTCAACCCGTTGACTACAAAATATCATTCCACCTTGTAGGTCCACCCATGTGCGTCCTCGCCCCCAAAGATGGGCATCTTCAGCTTTCTTACTCTTGGGTCACATCTGTTTCCCATGAATCCTCCGTAGCCCCCCATTCCTCGAAGAGGAGATGCTTCCCAATTGTCACGCTCTTCCCTTCGGCGCTCATACCCAAATCCTTCATCAAAATCTCATCTTCTTCTTTCAAAATAGCATCCCTTCTTTCACAACCGATACTAATCTCCTCCCTAAAAAGTGGCTCTAGCGGAGGCATTCCGTCTTCTCCTTCTAGAATCTCCACTTATGGATTTTCCCTTCCCTTAACATATTAGGGTTCCCATCTCTTCCATGGCCGCCGGTAGTTTCCTTTACTTCAGATGTCGCCGGATTGGGTTTGACTTCAAGTAATTTCTTCAACATGTCTTCTATTACGGCGAACATTCCATCCATCTTTTCATAGACTGATGCAAACTGATTCTGAAAATCGAAAATCTTCTCTTCAAAATATGCTTTTAGTTGACCTAATTCTCCCTCTAAAACTTTCACTTTCCTTCCGGCCATCGTTCCCCTTAGATCTACGTGCTCTGGTACCAATTTGATAGAAAACAACCACTATTAGTGCAGAAACTTGCTCAATTTCAGAGAAATTCAGCAAAATGGTACAAATTTTTCAAGCTTTGTGGAGAAATAAGAGAAATAATCATTTCAATTTCAACAAAAGAAGAAGAAAACATCAAACTGATACAAGAATCTTCCATTCGAGAGGAAGATTCAAATCTTTAAATCTCTAACCAAAGCCTAGAGCCCAAAAGCAAAACCTAGATTTCAAATTCAGCCTTCAATCATTGACATCCTCAAGAACATGAAGATCATGAGGAGCATGCATTATCACAACCGGTGAATCTAAATCAATGTTGATATTGGAAAAGTACGTACCTCTCACTACCTTTATACTTCAGATCGATGCATTACAGTAAGGGAGGGATTTGATGCCATGGCAAGAGCTATAGCAGGTGCCATAGTTCAAGTATGATTCATATCTGAAGTAAGGGGAACAATGACCATTAAAGTTTGTAGGTTGGCTATGGCCATCTATATGTCCCCTTAATCATGAGTGCTAGGATCCAGAGGGGATGATTTTGTTAATTCACGGTTCATCTTGTAGCAATCTGCATGCTCTTACCAAAAGTTTTATATGATGATCAAGAGAGCCTAATAGTAACAATATCCAATTGTAATTGCTTACTAAAATTAGAATCAAGAGAATGTACATTGAATTGATTAAAGTAGTGGTCTTGAAGTTAAGGGAAAGCTACGCAACATGAAGTTGTTAGTTTCTCGGAAGAATCAAAGTGTAGAGGCCACTTTAGCATACCCCTTAGAAAGCCATTTATATAGAAAGATCTACGTGAGAAGCATTTGATTAATTTGCTTCTAGAGATAATTTGATAAGAACATGGCAAGGGTCATGTAGCCTAGCAGAAAAATTACAATTCAAATGCAATTCAGACATGAATTTGTGAATAATCTCAAGATTGTTATGGCCTTGCGAAAACTTGCCAACTATAGGAAATATAAATGTAGTCGGTTTACCCTGAAATATGAATGACAGCTTGTGTTGAGATTGTTCAGCGCTTTGCTTAAAAAAATATAGAAAAATGAATGGAGAAGGAGAGAGCAACAACAACCACTTGAATGAGTGCAATGATACAACCATTATCTTGCATTCTTGATATTTAAAGGTCCGCTATTCTTGTGGTGGCTGAAGGGAGGTGATTGCATTTAATCAAACTGATGTGAAACTACTAGGAGTTACGTTTATAAATTAGAAAGATAGTTGATTAAAGCTTTGCTCATATAAATTTATTTCTAGCACATAAAAGAGAATTAAGAATTTGAAATATTCAACTTGCTTAGGCAAAAGACGTGCAATAGAGAATAACCAAAACAATTCTTTCAAAGTTCAAGGCAATATTAAATGCAAAGTACACATAACATAATCCAACGTTTAACAACGAGAGGTTCACCTCAAAGGCCTTCTCACTCAACTACTTGTAGGCTTTTAGCGGAGAAAGATGAACCATACGAAGAAAGATATTACCACTAGGAGGATGGCGCCGAAGAACTTCGTTGGTGGAGAGGTAGCCGGTGGAGATGAGGGTGGTGGGTGGCCGACAATGATCCAATCATAGTCGGAAAATTGACCGTCGATGACGTGCGCAAGGACGGGGAGAATTCGATCGAAGTAATCTCCAATGGTGTCGTCGTGTTCAAAGCCCACTCGAAGAATGGAGATCGTAGAATGTTGATATTACTGTCGGCGTCGAACACAAGTCCCCATTCAAGTTCGGGGTTTGCCATGCATTCTTGAAGTGGTGGGGGAGGAGCGTTGTCGTCTTCTCTTGGCTTCAAGTGTGATGAGCATCCAAAATTCCCAAGAGAGAGAGGGAGTATGGAGAGGGGACAAGGGAGGGAGCAATGAGAGAGGGGGCTGAGGTAGAGAGAGAGGGGGCGGGTGACTTGGGTGAGGGGAATTAGGCTAGATGAGGGAAGGAAGGGGTTTAATCAAATATGAAATTAATGTTCAGTTTTGAGTGAATTTGGAGGGAAGCAAATTAGGATTTGAATTTCAAATCAATTGTAATCAATGCCCTAAATGAGGCATTAAGTGGGATTTAGCCCAAGCATGGCCGGTAGCATAGAGAAGGAAGGATAGGGATTTAATTCACAAATCTGAAATTAATTTCAGAATTAAGTAAATTGGAGGGAGGGGAATTTGAATCAATAGCCTTGATTGCATTAATGGAGCATTAAAGGGAATTTCACCCTCATAGGGCCGGCGACATTATGAGAGGGAGAGGGGTGATTAGGGAGAGTAATTTCTTTCCAAATGAGTTTGAAACTTATGGGGGGGGGGAAATAATGAGTCATTCAATTAGAGTCCGTTCGAATTTTGAATTCGAAAAACTTCCTTATTTGGAAGTTTGCAAATAAGGAAAGTTTTTGAATTTGAAATTTGAATTTCAAAATTCAATAACTCATGCATTTAATGCGGGACCTCAATCAAGGGGCCGTGATGATGATTGATATCATCATCATGGGCCGAGGCAAGGTGGTGGCCGGCGGCCAAAGGAGGAGAGGGAGCTAGCCGTCGGTTTTGGGGGTCTTGAGGGAAGCTTGGAGTTGTAGTGGAGGAAACTAGTGGGAAAACGGTGGAGGCTTGAATCTCGGATAGAGATTTGCGTGGGGGAATGGAGAACAAGAGTTGGAAAAGAAAACAATAAAATAAACCACGAGTCGAGGACGCTTCAAATGACTGGTGGGTAATGTAATCGCTCACCTTAAGCTCAATCACCCTTCTGTAGCTCTCATGCAAGAAGAAGAAGATAACATAAGTTTTCATTCAAAATAATCATTAACCCAATACATCATAAGAAACCACTATATATAGGTCTCCACTCATGAAAAAGGAAAAGTACGAAATTGCCATCTGGGCTACAATAACAAACAACTCCCCACAAGGGTAAAAATGGAAAACAGTAAATAACTAAATAATACATCATGACATCTGAATCAAAAGTAGAGGCGCTGAATCGTTGCCGTCGATCTGCGATTCCGTCGTCGATAAACATGTCGGTAGCGTCTGTCGATGTCCTCATCACAAACTCTATAAAGATTTCTCAACTAATCACTTCTAGTTTCCACCTTTTCCCACCCTTGGGATTGGTTTTTTTTTTTTTTTTTTTGAAGTTACCTGAAAAGTTGACTCTCGGAATAATCTCTTCCGATCTGATGTTTTCTGTAGCCTTCTTACTGATGCATGACCATACTTTTTTATTTTTCAAGGTGGCTTTCCTGAATGCTGATAGTCATTTTGTTCGTCATGCAGCTGGAAACATTCTTTTATCCATCTCCCACTTCTTGATCAAACATGTATGTATTTCCGACCTTCCAGTCTGCCACTACTCATGTTCATATGTATTTATACCTGAGTATGATTGCACTGCAGTTTGTTTTTTCTGATTATTTTTCTTTTTGTTGGCAACATATTTGCCTTCAGGAACATTTATGGGCCCAGTTGCTTCAGTTGATCTGGTTTATTTTGGAAGATGCGATGTCAACAATTTTTTCTTGCCCAGATTTATTAGCCCGAGCTGTTATTCATGTAGATGACTGCTTGGTGCTGCATGAACTAACTTCGGGAGTTATTACAGATCAAAATTTACAGTCTGCAAGATTTCCTGCACTGCTTAAATCCTGGTTGTTAAATGTGAATCAGTTTATGGTTGTGCAACTATTTCAAACTTTGCGGAATATATTGAAATCATTGAAACATGATTCTAATGATCTTGAAGAAGTATTTATCCAATATGCTGTTTCTTCTCTGATAAAAATGCCTTGGGATTTATTGGATGAGATCTTTAATTGCTGTTGTACAAATCAGCTAAGTTTTCGGCAGGTTGATGTATCAGATATTAGAAGCTCTCTCACAGGTGTGAAGGATCTTCTTTTGGGAGCAATACTTCAATTATGTTGTTCAATTGTAGAGCCGCATGATTTTGAAGCTGATGGAAACAGTCCCTTTAAAGAACTTTCAGTTTATTTAAAGTTCAGCGATTTAGTGCCTAAACTCCTTTCATGGTGTTTCGTTTATCAGTTGGGAAATGGCAGAGAATATCTTTTTGAATATTTGAGACACAAATCATTGGTATGTTTAATCTGCTAATTATGTTGAATATATTTTGATAATACTATTTCTGCTATATATATATTACATATGCTTTACTAGTCTTCACTGGCAATGCATTTAACTTGATTGAATGATGAAGAAACTACTTTAATATTTGGATGGATAACGATGTCTAATTTTTATCTCCCATCAGATTATGATGATCAGGTTTAGTTTTCACAGACACTGGAAAAACTCTCATCCTGAATCTTGGCTCAAATTCCTTAACCAATTTTTTGGAGAAATTCTGCATTGGTCCTTCTCAGGATGTGATGCCAGTTCTGAAATATGTCTAGAAGAGTCTCCATTTTTTGCTAGTTCCCTGGAAGGAGACAAGTCTTATACTAGACATCTGCAGAGACTGGCTATTTTCCTTCTTTTTAAATGTTCTTTTACAATGGCCTGTGCTGGTGAAACTAGTAAGAAATGTTCTTGTAGAGAAGAAACTACTTCTTTTGGTTTGCAACTCTGCAGGAAACAATGTCACTTGGATTTATTGGAAATTTTTACATGGCTTCAGAGATGCTGCCCCTTGGAGAAGTTTCAGAACTGCAGAAACTATTATGAATCTTGCAGCAGTTTTGCTATATCCTTTCTGCAGCTCTACATGGAAGAGGTTTAGTTTCTTGATCACAAATTTCCATTTCTCTCTTCTCTAATCATGACATGCTTTCAGTTTTCTCAAATATTATTTAACTAGCCTTTTATAGCAGGTGTTGCGTTAACTTTTTGTTTTATGCATTTCAGACCCTGTTTCTGTAATGTATTTTCTATCACATGTGATGTTGTTTCAGAATAAGATTTTAAATTGGTGTAGTTAACTTGTAATTATATGTATAAATCTAGAAGTTAACTTGCTACGATACAACCTCCAACCCACTCCCACCACCTTTATTTATAGAGATAGATATAGATATAGATTGATGGATACACACACTATCTATTTTTATATAGAGAGAGAGTGGATCTTTGTTCTCACAAGTTCCATTGAACTTGAGAAACTACAAGTATCACACTATTATGCGCATATTTGATGGAAGATCTCTTCATCTAAGTTCTTTTTTATTGCTTTTGGGAAAAATTCAATGAGGGGTTTGAAATTAATTTAATAACAAGATTTTCTTGCTTCATTAGCCGTACATTCTTCATCACTTATGGTTCTCAGCGAACTCAATAATCATACAATTCTATGAATTTACATTCCTAGCTACTTCCTATATGTTATGTTTTCATTTTTATTATAGAGCATCAATGACTAAAATCTCTGATAGAACAGAAGTCTTTCTCTCTCTCTTTCTTCATATATATATATATACACACACACACACACACTATGCATACCATTTTAAAATTTTACTGTTGATTGCAGGATGATATGTTTTTTAAAATGCTGTTACAGTTGCTTGATGCTCCATTTTCTTCGTGGCAGAAGTAAGCAACAAGATGATTGCATCCCCACTACGAATTGATGATTACTATTCCGCTTTTTTTAATTCTTCACTTGGAAAACATGCAGAGAGAACAGTAATAAAATGGGATCTATTGGAGCAAATAACGACATTTTATGCCATTTTGCAAGTATATTTTGCCCAATTCGTCTTTTCCACCTTTTCCTGCTACTGGTAAGTAATAAATTTATGGAATTGTTACCTTTTTTCTTGCTTATTAGTCTATTCTGATCCATTGGCAATAACCTATGTTTGCTGGTTTACTTCATGTTACTTGATAAATGATACGATGAAGCATTCCTAATTATGCTGGAGATCGGAACTTCTTATGAATTTTTTTTTACTTGACAGTGAAGAGACATCCATGCGTTGTAGTTAAGTGCAGTTTGATTGTACTTTGTGGTGAAAGATTTCAACTTGCTATGCTTTCTGCTAACAAAGTTCGTTGTTTTCCATTGTCTACTTTAGGAGTTATTTCTTGAGCAGGAGTTCCTAGGACTTGGATTTCATTGGCTCTGTTAACTACGAGTTAACATGTATGTTGCTATGGTTTAAGATTTATTTGCTTACAGGGATATTTTAGTACTTATACCGTAAGGGACCTTTCTATTTGGCCGATAATACTGTCAGCTGTTTGAAATTGTCATGTATTCCCTTATCTCCTTAGTTATTTAGAGACCTATGTGAGGCAGCCAGTGCCCTCTTCGACTTTTGTACCCCTGCCTTTCTCTCCATTTTTTTTTATTATTTGTCACGCCCCATTTTTACCCCCCCTCTTGACAATCATGAGGCGTAATAGAAAGGGATAATAAGGGCAAATAATTCTCATTATATCCATCCTTGATACAGTAAAATGAATTAAAATTTTTAGGATAATTTATTTTATGTATAGTTTGATATATCTAAATTATTTTATATGTTTCTATTTATTGAATGATCAAAATGAAATATAGAAAATAATAAAAATGGTTTTGAAAAAATTTGAGATGCCAAAAAATAGAGTAAAACTTTTGGGGCAAAATTTTAGCGTACCTTATTATTATTTTATTGTTACATGTTTATATCCAAAACCAGCCCTCTTACACCATGTCTGACCGAAGAAAGGACATTCCACCAACCTTTAGTACCTCTGGAGTCACTGCAATCATCTGGCAAATTTTCACTCTTTTTTTTGCATCTTTGTCACCTTCATACTAGCAATACAAGAGAATGGCCTGCCTGATGTGATACCGCAACCTGCAACAGGGATCAAGCAAATAAGGAGAAGGAAACAACCAGTTTGGTTGAAAGACTTCAAAGTCACCTCAGCAGATATAATAAAAAACTGTTCAACCACTAGGCCTTAGCTGAGACAGAATTAAATTGTTTTGTTAGTATGTATTAGTTGTGTAAGGATTCATAAACCCTTAGGCGTCTTGCAATGATACTACTCAACAATGAAATTGATTTTATTTTTATAATCTTCTCCTCTCTAGTTACAAGATATGAATTTTGGTTTTTGTTGTTTTTTGTTTCATTGCAGCTACACTATGATCACCTGGTCCTGGTTGATTATCTTATCTCAAAAGATACTGGTCTTCATTGTTTGCAATATCTTTTGAGGTACGCTCTTTGATCAATTTTATGATCTATTTGTTTTTTTTTCCTGTTATTTGTGATTTAAAGACATGATAGACAGTATGTAACTTCGAAAAAATATTGAATGTTCTGGTTGAACTAACATTTGTACTATTACGGCCCATCAATTTTGCTGGTCCCACCTAATTTTCTTTGAGAAATTCATTTGGTTATCCTTGCTCGACATTTTTATATTCTACAACTTGGGAGGAGCCCAATAAAATGAATGGCATATCAGACACAAAGTGTTAAGTGGTTATTCAATTCCAGATTTCTGTAAATCACCAGCATTTAACACAACTAGAATCATCTTTCTGAACTATTTCATTTTATATTAAAAAAATTAACAATTCTTGTATAATTGGATCTGGCTCAGATTTTTATTTCTTTCTATAGGAGTTCTTCGAATTTATTCTTGTATTAAAATCCAATAATTCAAGTCTTACAATGATGTTTATCTTGAAACAACTTCAGAGGGCCATGTATGTAGGAAGGCTAGGAAGAGGAGTTGGGTTGGAAGAGGTGTATTTTCTTGAATAGCACCTATTAGGGTCACAATATCATCACACCTAAAAGGCCAACTTGTTTCCTTGTTATGTGTTAGAAGTGTTTGGACCAGAATTCTGAAAGCTAGGCGGCGCCTGGATAAACTCTGCTTGAGGGTATTCTTTTTTTCCCCCTTCAAATGTAACTTGCATGCTGTAACACCAAAATATGTGCTGGAAATTCCGTCAGTTTTCTTGACATTTGAGTATGGCGCCTGTATTTGAATGTCATCCTTCACAATTGAACTTTGCACTTCTAACACATTATGAGCATTCCTGTTATATGTTTCTCTTTTTGTCAAATATTTCTACCTCTATATTTCATTTCTCCAATTTTTTTTTGTGACCGGTAATCTTAAAAGTATATTTATTGCTATTGTTTTAGTCCTTATGGAATTTGTTTTTGTCAGGTGCTTACGTTTGATATGCGACTCATGGCCTGCCCTTGTACAATTCTCTAATTTTGAAAATAAAAGTGATAATCATCATCAGAAAAGAAGAAAAATTCATCGAGACGAGGATGAGAGTCCCACACTAAAGTCTTCAACAACTGCATTCCGAAGACAAATTTTGAGGAGACATAAAAATTTTCAATGTACTTATGAAGTCAGTGATTCACATAATTTTGAAAAGGCCAAAGGGTGCTTACATTCATTAAAGATATCACTGGGAGAGCTTCAGAGGAAATGTTTGTTTCCCTACAATTCTAAACCTCTTCTCAAAAGGTTTGCAATTCATTTGTTTAACAATGTCTACCCTTTTCTAAACTGTAAAATTACTATATTCTTTGTACTTCTTACTATCATGCACTTAGAATGTAATGCAGTAGCTTACTTGTCTTAGCCTAGTTCTTTCTTTGACTATATTGTCTGAAGCTCTTTCTTATGATTTGTTTGGGATAGCTTTCTTGTTATTTTGCTTTACAGATTAGTGCTATACTTTTGATTGGCTTTTTCTTTATTGCTGTTTTTCAAAAATTATTATGCTGGAAAGCTGTTTTATCAACCAGATCTGCTATTGTACAGTAATTGTAAGAAAGTTGTTGTATTATTTCAAAATAGTAAATATTTATAATGCTTATAACTTAAATTTTTTTTTTTCCACAATAACTTTACAAATATAAACTAATTTCTTCTATTTGCCTATTGATGCATATGAAGATAATGAATATGGAAACCGTGGTCTCTTCTCTTTGAAAAACCTGGCATTGTCTGAAACTCCTTTATAGAAGGTAAGATTAGGCGATTAGCATTGCCCAAGTTGGACAACTGTATTGTTACTTGTTAGATATATCGCCAGAATATAAGCAGCAGCATTCATTAATATTCTTTACATGAATTGTTATGTGATGGCTTGCATTAAAGAAGATTTATAAATGGCAAACTAGAGCTACATCCAAAAGGATTAGTTATTTTATTCTGTTTTCTAATTGATGCGCGTTCAAAAGCTGAAATAAAGAACCTGGGATAACAGTTCTCTTTCTTTTATAAAACGTGGCTGATATGAAGGCAAACCAAGCATATGTATAAAGTTGGACAAGTTCATGAATCTTTGTGTGCATAAAATATTCTTAGTGAAACCCTTTTTATCATTTGCCTTAATCTAAAAGGATAATGAGCTTTTCTTATTTTTAGATGCTACGAAATTCATGGCATTAGAGATTGAGAGTATGTCTTAGCTTTACATGAGTATCCCACACAAATAAAGATATATAAATTTGCTCAACTCTAGATAACTTGAAGACTTGTTGGGTGGAAAATTCAGAGTGAAAGCCACGCACGCGGTCTTGTTCCTTCATAATGGATTCGCTAGTCTTGATTTTAGGTTATGAAGTTGGCATTTCCTCACAATCAGAGATGGCAATAAAATAATATTAAAATTTCAATTAGAGATTATCCTTAAATAATAGTAGGAGGTGGGAACATCGATAAAGGATGACAAATGTTAGTCATTGGTGTGGAAGATTCGTGACAGCTAGCGTCTGTTGTATTACACGAAGGGATGTTGATTGAGTGGGAAGTCATGCGATATCATTTGATGGATGCTTTGTATTAGGGCATTGGGATTTGAACATTGGTCAGTTAAAGACGTTGAAAGTCACTTGTTGTCAAGCATCCGGTTTTGCAGGATAATGAAGAACAAAATGCGGTAGCTAGCATTGGATTAGCATGTTGGTCAATAGCTGCTTGTTGGTGGACGGAAGGCGATTTATATCACCGGGAGTGGGAGTGAGTTAGTGGATGTTGGCCAATGAACTTAGGGCGACAATTGGTGCTGGGAGCTGGATGTTGGTTTGTGAAAGTTATCGACGATGAAGTGCAACATCTAGCATTAAGAGTAGGATGTTGGGCAATTGATGTCAATTGATTATGAAAATCATGTTGGATGGAAGGCGAAATATGATGTTGTTGGTCGGTGGACGTTTTGTGGAACTAAGAACACTATTTTGGTTTATCTGGTGTTCGAAAAATAATTAATGACTAGAAAATTTACTTTGATTCTCGAATGTTCCCAATTCATAATGTTTAAAAAATGAGGAGGTTTGGGGTCTATTTGTAGATTTTCCTTGCGGTTTTTTTTTTTTGGGGTGGGGTATGGAGGGTCGTTATTCGAAATCATTATAAAATATTCCCTATTTTGATTGACAATGGCCAAACAAGATCATATGCTTCTTGATAAAAGTAATAGAACAATGTTGCTCGTGAGTGTCTTATCGAATCATTTTAATGGTAGCCAAGCTAAGCAACTAACTGATATTTGATGGCGGTGGTTTGATAATTGTGCGATAGAGGCTAATGTCAACGAATATTTGATCGGTGTATAAATGACACCATCTTAGATGTCTTCATGTTGCGAGCTCAATGTAAGCTTTTATATCCAAAATTTATTGGTTGGATCATTTGTAACAAGATATGAGGCATAGGCTACATGTTATTGTTATTAAAAACACTGACGAATTAACATAATTTTGGTATGGATTTGTTTGTTCGACATGAGAATTACAATGTTACTGATGGTTCATGAATTCCTGTGTGAGCCAAAATTACTCCAAGAAGGCATAATTATAAGGGGATCAGTGACTTAGGAAGGCTTGTGGAGGTCAAGCTGTGAGAACTTGAAAGCTAAGAAGGGGAAAACCCTAGAAATGTCTTAGTTAGATGCTTGAGAGAAAAGAGATTGCGTAGTAGTGAAGATTATTGACGAACAGTTATGATGGCATTTTAAGTGAACAATCCATGAAATCGGTGACCCCATCTAGGAACTCGTGCATTTAGACTATTGATTTCTTATTATTATTAGTTTCTCGCTTTTTTATTTCAATCAGGATTCCCTATCTATTTAAATGGTTGTCATAGGAGTATCTAAGGAGTGATAGAGAAATGGAGAGTTAAAGCCTAGATAGGAGAGTTTCTATTCTAGAGAGAGGCTCATAGAATAGAGAGCTAAGGAGAGAGGAGATTTGAAGAAGCATCAATTCAGTTAGCTAGGGGTGTAAACGAGTCGAGTCGAGCTCGAGTCACCCCCAACTTGAGCTTGAGCTTGATTAATTAATCAAGTTCAAGCTCAAGCTCAAGCTTTATTTTACGAGTTCAAATTGGCTCACAAGCCAGTTCACGAGCTTATGAAAGTGAGAAAATGATTATGATTCAAGCAATGATTATACTATAATGACAAAATGAATGAGGAATTAAAAGAAAAATAATAATGAACCACTTAATATAAGACAATGAGATATATTTTTTAAAATATTTTTTACATGGTTGTACTTAAAATCTTGAATACTAATACATTTTAAGTGTATTTTATATTAATATTTTTTAAATGAGCCGGTTCGTGAGCTAATGAGTTGAGTCAAGTCTAACTCAAGCTGAGTTCGTTAGCTCATCGAGCTCGGCTCACAAGCCATTTATCGAGCCTGCTCACTAGTCGGCTTGACTCACTTACACCCCTATAGTTAGCTATAGTTAGCTGATAATCAAGGAATTTAAAAGATGATTGGGGAAACTTAAAATGCGCTTGAGAAAAAAATTATAATCTTAGAGTCTTAAAGTTATTAAGTTTGTAATTGTAAAATGATGGCTTAAGATTAAGTTTTAACTGGCAATTAGAAGTTAATTTTAAATAAATTTATTTTAAGTTATAGATAGTCAAATTTTATTTTTATTTGTTTTATATGATTTAGAACATGCCAAAAATTTCTGGAGTCAATTTGATCAAATCTTTTTAATTTATATTTTTTTGTTATAGATTTTATAATCAAAATGCTATTTAATTTATATGTATTTATGACTACAAAATTAATTTTTAATTTTAGTTTCATTAAATTTATCTCGATGGGAAAGCATATATAATTTCTATACTTTATATTTATAATTATAAAAATATGCAATCTAACATTTATCTTAACACTTTTAATATATTTTAAAATTAGAAAATATATTATCTTAAAAATTAAAAAATAATAAATATAAAAAATATTTATAATTACATTAAAAATTTTTTAAAACAAATGGCACGCGCTATTTTGCGCCGTGCGCCATGCGCCATGGGGCGCATGTGGCGCAAATAACGCGCGCCATTTTGAACATCTGCGCTGCGCCATGGTGCGCGCTACTTTGCGCCATTGACATCTATGTGCATAATATATAAATGTTTTGTTATTTAAGGTGCAAAGCTTTAAATTATTTAATATATTACCTTTGCAAATTTTCTTATGTAAAATCTAAATTTTTGTAATGGATTTTTATATTGAATATAAAAACAACTATGTATAAACTATTTTAAACGGCCATATATTATGTATTTATGTTCGTAGCTTTGCGCCTATATTTTAAAGTAGTAGTACTAACACGTACTATTTTTGCAGTCTGGACAGGTTTCTGGAGCTTTGCACGACATATAAATCACAGCAGATATAATGGTAATTAGTAATTGGGATGAAAGCTCTTGTTCCGAGTACCTGGCTTCTCTGCAGTATCTTTAAAATTTTATGCAAGATTTCTAATCTGCTTAATTACCATTTTTATTTTATTTTTCTTTGTTTCATTCATAGTGATTGTTATGTTCTGTTGCTTTAGTGAAACCTTGAAGAAGCAAGAAGGTATTTCTTTTTCTCTGTTTTTGATGATTCTTGAGACTCCATGCCTGGATAGACTGGAATAAGCATGAAATCAGCTCACAGAAGTTCCAGCCGTTAACGTGGCTAAGGTTCATTAAAAGCTTTGAATTCTATTATTTTCACAAGGGACCTGAACAATAGCTATTTTTATACTTTCTAAAATGGTCTTTTCTGGTGCCTTTGTCCTTTAAGATTCTTGCTGTTTTTTTTTTGGGGGGTGGGGGGCCAAAGCCCATTTTATAAACTATGAAGAAAAAACAGAATTACATGTATAAATGAAAAGAAACCATCAACTATCCAAAACAAAAAGTAGTTGCACAAAATATAAAATCTGTATGGAAAAACTACAAGGAAAGGAGAAAAAAATTAAAACGACTCAAAGAGCAGAGAGGACTCAAAATGCTCCACAAAATCGGAACGTCAAGCAAACATGAAGAGCATCAATTTCTCCTAGTTGCCGAAAAGACTGATAGGAAATACTTGAGTTCGCTAGTAATCCTATCGGATTTACTTGAGTTCGCAAGCAAACCTAACAATAATTGGTAAAAACAGCGAGAAAACGAAGAAATCATCGTGGAAGAACAATCAAACGATAGTAATTCTTATAGAAAGCAAAGGAAAACAATAACAAAGCAAAGATACGAGAGATCCTCAATTCGAGAGGAGGATCATCTCTCCCAAATCTCTAGACAAGAGAGTCTAGAGCCCAAGTTGCCAAGAAACCCTAATTCCCAGCCAATCTAAACATTAAAACATTTCCTAAACATCTCCCTCTCTTAATACCCAACCTTTCCTAATCAAATCTCCCTCCCAATACCTAGCCGCCCCATCCTTTTGAAATTCAAACCTATTACAAGCTTTGGGAGGACGGTAATGTTAGGTCGATGGTTCATAATGAACCGACTGAGCCGGCCTTAGTCACATCTTCTTTGTCCTCAAGATGAAAACAAGGAAACTGTTGTTTTACCCTCTTGTATGTCTCCCATGTAGCATTGTAATTGGTCAACACTTAGTCACATCTTCTTTTTGGCGAACCCCCATCAACTCTAAGGGTTCCATAACCACCTCTAAATCCTCAGTAAGTGTCGTTGGTAACTCGGGGTTGGTTGTATAGTCACCAATGACCTTTCTCAACTGTGATACATGAAAAACAGGATGTATAGTCGCCGTCGGTGCTAGTTTCAGCCAATATGTTACTACTTCAATCTCTTTCAGCACTTCATAAGGCCCAAAGTACCTTGGAGCCAGCTTCTCATTCCTCCTGTGGGCGACTGTCTTCTGTCTATATGGTCGGAGCTTCAAGAATACCCTCTCCCCCACTTCAAACTGGATGTCCCTTCTATGTCATAATTTGTTGAGCCCTCAGCAGATGTCTCTTCAGCTCTTTTAACACACACACTCTCTCCTCCAAGTACTCCTCGACTGAGGAAACTAGAGTACTGTTACTCCCAAAGTGCACCAAGTGGGGAGGATCCCTTCCGTACAACACCTTGAATGGAGTCATCTGAGAAGCATAATGAAAAATGTATTGTACCAGTACTCAGCCCATGATAGCCACTTAGCCCAGAGCGTGGGTGTCTCCGATATGAAACATCTTAGGTAAGTCTCCAAGCTCCTGTTGACTACTTCCGTTTGGCCATCCGTCTGTGGGTGGTAAGTTGTACTCCTCTTCAGAACTATCCCCTGTAACCTGAACAACTCTCTCCAAAAATGGCTGAGGAACACCTTATCTCTATCTGATACTATTTTCTTGGGTACTCCATGTAATCTGACTACCACTCTGATGAAGGCTGAAGACACTATCACTGCTGTGGGTGTCGGAGGGGAATGAAATGTGCATACTTGCTCAGCCTGTCCACCACCACTAAAATCACCGTGAACCCTTCTGAACGAGGCAACCCATCTATGAAGTCCATGGATATCTCCTCCCATACTCGTCCCGGTAGAGCTAATGACTATAGTAGTCATCCTGGTGACATAGCCAAGTATTTATTCCTTGGACAGATCTCACATATGACTATAATCTCCTGTACATCTTTATGCATCCCCTTCCAGTACATCTTCGTAGCTAGCCTCCTATATGTCTTCTGTACGCCTGAGTGGCCCCCAACAACGCTTCCATGAAACTCTTGGAGTAAGTTTGGGATGTGGATCCAGGTCCGGGGCATCACAAATCTCCCCTGATATAGCAGTTTGTCCCCCTCCAATGAGTACCGTGGGTGGCTACCCTCTTCCTTCAGTAAATATGACATGATCTTTCCCAAACCTTCATTTATAGCACTTTCTTCTCTGATGGCCTCCCAGTCAAGCATCAAAGGAATATATAGTGCCACTGTCTGCAGCTCCCCCATACATCTGGACAAGGCATCTGCCGCCTTGTTCTCCACCCCTGGCCAATGTAAATCTTAAAATCGTACCCTAGCAATTTGGACAACCACCTTTGATGCTCCTCTGTCACCATCTGCTATTCCAGCAGCTATTTTAGGCTCCGCTGATCTGTCCTAACAATTAAATGCCTCTCAAGTAGGTAGGGCCGCCACTTATGGATGGCCAAAATAATGGAAATTAATTCTCTCTCTAGACTAATTTCAGCCTGGCTCTAGCAGTTAATACCTGGATGAAATAAGCAATGGGTCTACGACTCTACATAAGCACTGCGCCCAGCCCGTATTTGGATGCATCTGTCTCCACAATGAAGGTCTTAGTGAAATCTAACAAAGCTAGGATTGGTATCGTAGTCATCGTCTTCTTCAGGCTCTCAAATGTTGATGTGGCCACCTCCCTCTATAGGAACCCGTCCTTCTTCAACTGCTCAGTGAGTGACCATGCTATGGCGCCGTATCCATTTACAAACCTTTTGTAGTACTCTGTTAGTCCTATAAATCCCCTCAGCTCTTTCAGATTTTTCGGTATTGGCCACTTTAGCATTGCCTTAATTTTGGACTGATCTGTTGCCACCCCTTCTTTTGATACAACATGGCCCAAGTACTCTACACTGACTTGTGCGAAGTAGCATTTTTTCAAGTTGGCCCTCAGCTGGTGCTTCTGCAACACCTCTAACACCCTTTTCAAATGCTCCCAGTGCTCCTCTGTCCTGATGTAGATCAGGATGTCGTCAAAGAATAACAATACAAATCGTCTGAGATAAGGTTTGAAAACCTTATTCATAAGTGCCTGGAAAGTAGTGCGAGCATTGGTTATGCCAAAAGGCATAACCAGGAACTCATAGTATCTCTCATGAGTTCTAAAGGCCGTCTTGGGTACATCCTCCTTCATCCGTTTTTAATGGTAACCTGATTTCAAGTCTATCTTACTGAAGATCACTGTTCCACTCAATCATCTAACAGCTCGTAAATGACTGGTATATGAAACTTGTCAGGTACAGTTTCCTTGTTGAGTGCTCTGTAGTCCACACAAAAATGCCAATTGCCATCCTTTTTTTTCACCAATAGAACTGGACTAAAGAAGGGACTGATGATGGGTCTGATGATTTCTGCCTCCAGCATCTCTCTTATCAACTTTTCGATTTCATCTTTCTGGAACTGAGTGTAGCGATAAGGTCGTACACTAATGGGTGACACTCCCTCTCTCAACACGATGGCATGCTCATGCTCCCTCTGCGGTGGCAATCCCTAAGGTGGCTGAAACACCTCTTGAAACTGCTGAATCAAATGCTAAATGGAGAGAGGTATGTCCCTCCCTCCTCCAATCTAGCTTCCTCTAGACTGTGCAACTCCACCAAATACCCTCCTCCAGCCAATTGTATATCCGTCACCATCATTTTAAGAGAAACCATGGATTTGGATAGCCCCGCATCTCCCTTAATCATCACCTTCCTTCCATCTACCATCAACTCCATCGTGAGCGCTCCCCAATTCACTTTGGTGCTCCCAAAGTTTGTAGCCATTTTATCCCCAGGATGACATATGTACTCCCAAGCTCTAGTGGAAGAAAATCTTCCCTCTCCTGAATCCCTTGGATCGTCAGTCGCACTCTGCAAATCCCTTGACCTTTCTCCACCTTCCCCGTACCTATTATCACCCCGTAACAACCGGTATCCACCAATCTCACTCCCAATTGGTCGACGACCTGGGTGGAAATGAAATTGTGAGTAGCCCCACTATCAATCAACACGACCACCTCCCTAACCTATATCTCCTTCACTTTCATGGTATGATTCGTAGTGAATCCTACCACTGAGTTTAGGGAAATTTCAGTCTGATCCAAATGTAGCTTCTCCTCCATCTCCTCTTCACCTCCCTCAGTTTCCTTGTCATTGCAGACGGTGAGAACCTGAAGAGTTCGGTCCTTGCACCATTGCCCTGGCGTGTACTTTTCATCGCACTTGAAGCACTACCCCTTGGCCCTATTCTCCTGCATCTCTTTTTCTTTCAGCCGCTTGAAATTACCCTCCCCCCATTCCCCCTCCTCCTGTCTTGTCCTTGGTGGCCTCTCGATTCCCTCATATTGCAGGACCTTTAGGTGCTAGATGGGTGGTCGTCATCCTGTAAGTCCCCCTGTGCTGCTACTCCTGGCTCCCCTCTCCAGATTCTTTTGATTTTCCACAAGCTGGGCCAACTTCATGACCTTCCCCAAGTCACGGGGCATCAGAACCTTCATTGATGCTCGGACCTCCGCCTTCAGCCTCTTCATGAAATTTCCCTCCAATACCGCATCTGATAAACGTTCCACCCTGCTAGCTTGGTGCTTAAATCGCTCCCGGTAGTCGGCTATTGATCCCTCTTGCGTCATTGCAAAAAAATGCTCGTACAAATCTCCTCCCCGGTCGGTTTGGAAATGTTCTATTATGCAGTCCTTGAACTCCCTCCAGTTCCTGATAGGTCTCCTCTGGTCCCTCCACTGATACCAGGATAGGGATTTTCCTTCTAAGCACAAGCCCGTTGTTGTCAACTTCTTCTCCTCCGTCAGCCCATTGACGGCGAAGTATCACTCCACCTTATAAATCCACCCATACGATTCTTCTCCTACGAATATGGGCATCTTCAACTGCCTCACCTTCTGGTTGCCACCATTCCCCCTGATTCTCCCATAATTTCCCCTCTCCCAAGTGCTAGGCCCTCCCCATGTTTCACGGTCTTCCTTTGCTCTGCCATAGCCCAAACCCCTTTCGAAATCCCCCTTTCTTTCTTCAAAATCAGCACCTCGACGGCCATAGTATTCCTCCTGGCGCTCCCCATATCCCCCTCCTTTCTTCCCTTTGGACAGGCTCCAGATGGGGTCTTCTTCTTTCTCCTTCTATGATTTCCACCTTATCTTCCTCTCTACGAATTTCAGAATTCGTGCTTTTTTCCTTCCATCTCTTTTGCCACGGAAGCCGCCATTTGGTTTTGAATTTCTAACATTTTCTTCATCATGTCTCGGAGATCGGCGTCTTGTCCTTCCATGGAAGAAATCCTTTCCTCCACCGTTGTTTTGATTTGATTCATCTCTCCTTCAAGTCTTTCCTCAAAAGCATCCACTTTTTGGCTGCCATCACAATCTGGAGTTTGTAGATTCAAAAAATCTGAATTTTGGAGTAAAAAACAGCAACTTCATCTTTTTCCGGGCAAAAAACTGTTGCTGGAATTTGCCGGAAAAAATTCTTCATTGGTCCAAAGATTTGCTCTGATACCAATTTGATAGGAAATACTTGAGTTCTCAGGTAATCCTATCGGATCTACTTGAGCTCGCAAGCAAACCTAATAATAATCGGTAAAAACAGCGAGAAAACGAAGAAATTGTCGTGGAAGAACAATCATATGATAGCAATTCTTACATAAAGCAAAGGAAAATAATAACAAAGCAAAGATACGAGAGATCCTCAATTCGAGAGGAGGATCGTCTCTCCCAAATCTCTAGACAAGAGAGTCTAGAGCCAAAGTTGTCAAGAAACCCTAATTCCCAACCAATCAAAACATTAAAACATTTCCTAAAGATCTCCCTCTCTTAATACCCAACCTTTCCTAATCAAATCTCCCTCCCAATACCTAGCCGCCCCATCCTTTTGAAATTCAAACCTATTACAAGCCTTGGGACCCAACATGTGGGTGGGCAACATGAGGGGAGGCGGAACTGATCCGCCTCCTATAAACTTGAGCCGGCCTTTGGGTCGGCTCAGCCGGTTACAAAGACCAAAGGAGAAGCTGGGTAGCACCAGCACTCATCATTGGTGTGAATGATAAGACAAAAAGTATCCTTATGGGTTCATTTCTATTTTGCACTTGAACAAAAATATTTGTATGCGACAACATGCAATTTCTGATATGTTAAGTAGTTCAAGGAGAGAAAGTTGCATGGCGTTATAAAGCGAGTGCTGTTACCTATCGCTCGTCTATTTCTTTTTTCTAGTCTTTAAATCCTCTTAAAGCATTCAAAATTATTTGTTTTCTCTATCTGTTGGGTTTGATTTCAAGAATCTATTTACACTTCTCTGGTTTTCTTATTATCCACAGGTCATTTATTTGTAGTAGGGGATATCTCCTCGGCGGTAGTCTTAACAATTGCTAATGCTGAACAACCGTATCTCACGGTATGAATTTCTCAGTTATATTATTGTCCTTTGCGCTGGGTGCTTTGCTCGGCAATTTCAAATTACATATCCAGTTCTCATTTATTGTTAGCATCATCACTACAAAACAGTGGAGTTATTCTGCTTGATTTTGACTTATTACAATCATACAATTTTCCTGAGTTTTCCGAACAAAGGTTGTTTATATGGCTTCTAGAAACATCTTGATTGTAGTACTATTTGAATATCAGGATCATTTCCAGTTAGAAGTGTTATGTATATGTCGATAATGCCTATTTTAGTTGACATTTAGAGCTGTTATTTTTCATAAAATTGGTATCAAAATGGTTATCTAAATATGTTCGTTAGACCTGTCGACAGTTTGGAAAAATTCAGATTAGATCATTTTTATCTGGATTCAACTCGTTTTGATTTCGTTTGGATCATGTTTGATAACCTAGTTTTGGTCCAGTGTCCTTTTATGATTATTAGATCTAAGTTTGGATTTAATAGGACACAATAGATAAACAAATTCATGTAGCCGACCATACATAGTGGGATAAAGATTTGATATATATATATATATATATATATATAGCTTGTAATGATCAAATTGGAAGTTTAGTTGGATTAAGTCAAGACATGAGATTTAGGTTTCATTTGGGACGGCTTTTTAACTACTTCTTAAAGTCGTTTTTTTGAATAAAAATTTTAATTTTTGTACTAGAAAGCTGCTTTAAGAAGCAATAAAAGCCGTCCCAAACGAAACCTTAATTGGATCAGATTGGCCCTTTTTATCTCACCTGACTACTCAATAATTCGATCAAAATTCAAATTGGATTAGGTCAAGGTCTGACCTATTGACATGTCTGATGTTAGCTAACCAAACAGTTGGCATTTATTATCACAGGAACAAGCACTATTACCCCAAAGATAAATGCAAATCAAGCAATTTCTAATGACACATTTCAGCAGAAGATCTTGTTTGATTAGTTTGTTTTATCTTGATACCTATGATGTAATTCTTGCTACAATTCAGAATTGCTACTATGAGACTTTTTTTCCTAGATGCCGGTATTTACTGTTTCATTTTTGTATTGGAGGTATTGTAAGCAATTGGATTGAAATTAGGTGATAAATATTTTTGCATACCATTTCTCTTGCCTTATGTGTTCATTTATTATAGCAAGATCTGGTAAGAACATTAGTTGATAAATTTTTTTGTTTGGATGCTTCAAGGTTTTTTTTATTAGTTCTACTGTTATTACTTAGCTTTTTCTTATTAGCTCCGTCATTGCGATTAGTTTTTTAGAAATGCATAACAAAATAGGCAAACAGATTGGAAATTTATTGCTTGCTTAAAAATGTAATATATAATTTTGAAGATTTAGGCTTTGTTTGAGACAGCTTTTGTGCTACTTCTTTAAAATTTTTGTACTAAAAAACTGTTTTAAGAAACAGGAAGAAAACCGTCCCAAACAAAATCTTAGTTCTCTTTATATGCACAGATGTGAAAGCTGAAACATCAATGGCATTATAAGAATTGATAGAAAGAAGTTTGTAGAAAAAATTGCAAACTTCAAAGTTTGACTCAATGGACAAGGTGAATAGTTACTTTTATTTTTAAAAATATATTTAGTAGTTTAGCCACTGCTATCTTCTTTGCTTGCCAAGGCCACTTGTGAGTACTCAACTGCCTTCTGCAACCTGCTTTTGGCTGAGTAAAATGTTTTTTTGGCTGAGTAACTTTAGATGACATTAGTTGGTAGGCTTTAGATGATGGTTGATGGGGAATGTCAAAACTTGGATGATGATGGACGATTAGTTTAGTCATTCTCTTAATAATTAATCATTAATAAACATTCGATAATTATTGATGAGTGATGTGAGAAGTAAAATAATGATGGATGGTTAGCTTTATCTTTCTTTATATAGGAGGGAGATATGGGTTATAAAAAGATGTGGTTAACATAATCATATGACATAAATTAGATATTGGCCATTAATAGACATTAGATAATAGTTTGTAGGGAACATAATTTAATAGATCATATCATTTTTTGTTAATTTAATCAGATGTATAAATGAAAGGTCCTATATATAATTGAAAATGATTGAAATAACTAGATTTATACTATGACTTGCATGAATGATTTTTATAGTGTAAAAATATGCATATAACTAAAGTTAGCTTTGAAGAAGACTTAGGCTTTGCTTGGGGCATCTTTTTAAATGCTTTTCACAATAATTTTTAGTATAAAAATTGGTTGAATGTAGCGAAAAGATCGTTATCAAAAGTTGTCTCAAATAAAGACTTAATGCACGAATGCAATATGCAATTCAAGTTAGGGGTAATTAAGGTTGATACACAATGTATTATGTTAGGCTTGGGATTGCTAAGGGGTGATCCTATGATATTTTTTGGACTCTCATAAGGGTTATGATGATTGGATAATGGCCATTGAGATGAACATTAAGATTTCATTTGGGATGATTTTCTTACTACTTCTTAAAGTAGTTTTAGTAGTATAAAAATTAATTTTTTTGTACTAAAAAATTATTTTAAGAAATAATAATAAAGATGCACCAAATAAAGCCTAAATGATTATTACTAGTTCTACCAAGCACATTGTTTCAATCTCAATTTGGTAGCCAGTAAGCCAAAAAAAAAAAAAAAAAAAAACCAATTTAGGACACCTCGTTATGTTTGAAGACAAAGCATTCACAACAACAACCTCCATAATATTTAACATAACGATATTTATAATATGCAATATAATAGCATTCTCTTAATATGTTATATAATAACATTCATAACAAGTTCAATATACAAGAATAACAATCATAATTGATATCTTGTAAAATGTACATACTTATTTGTGTAGATCAATTTAAGTCATCATAAGAGCATTTTTTCATGTTCAAAATATAATTGATCTTGAATCAGTTCAACTTTGCCTATAGCTTGATACTCGCCAAGCTTGAAGTCAAATAAGCCTTTACTCGCTGAGAGTTGAAGCTCATCAAAGTTGCCTAAGATATGAATTTTACTTGCCCATGGTACTAAGCTATTTAACTTGCCAAATAAACCAAAGAAGTTGCTTTATCATTGAAGCTACTCAGATGAAGACCTTAACTACTTGTCTAGAGTGCTTGCATGTCTAATAAGAGTTCTCAATAATAGGACTATTGAAGGATATTTGTCGCCTATTCATGTCAAAACCAAACTAGATAAAACCCATCGATTGGACATGTCCTATTATATTGGTTTGCAACAAGCGAATTCTAGGATTTAAGTTATGAAAATTATATAGAACTTTCGTCCAAATTTTAATTTTAAAACGATAATAATCACAGAGTTACTAATAACATTCAATGTATTGAAAATAAATTCATTCATAAAATTTCATTTTTCATTAATCACCAAAATGTATATACAATTATAGTACATTACTATAGACTAAGCTATAAAATGAAGGAATAAAAATTAGTCATGATTGTAAAAAAATCAAAAGAAGGAAATACCTCTACATATTTAGATCAGATCTTGATACAACTACTTAACTGTCTCTTTCCTTCTATCAGATCCTAAAAACGGAAGGCAAAACAATTGTGAGCTAACATAGCTCAACAAACCACATTTATTAATCTAAAACTTTAATTACTCCATTATAAAGCATTTAATTGATTGATAGAAATAATAAAATAAATCACTATGCTGAGCATATTAATAATTATAGTGATCAGAAATTCGAATAATAATGCTAAGAAAGTAAATAAACATGCATTTTATATCAAGCAGAATTCAGATAATTTTGACCCTTATAACTCCCAACAAACATAATTTAGACAATTCTGACCATTATGCATCCTCGCAGAACTCTGAGAATAGTTTGTGCATATAGCACGGGAATGTGCCCTTGACAACATAATAGAATTTTCTCCATCCACCCTAGAACTCAGAATCATACATTTCAATCAATTATGCACATAATTCATTGCATTATAGTAATTGAAACATAAATAAACTCATTTCAGAAATTTACAAAATGCTACAACTGTGGGTAAATTGAATGTACTATTGAGCATAAATGTACTTTTTCAGAACATAACCTAATTATTAGTAAATGCTAAGCATATTATTTTGAAGTTTTAATTGTGCTACAATATTATTTTTTAGTATAAACATTATTTTTTAATCAATTAAAATAGCAAAATTTTCAAAATTCAATGTGTAAAATTTCTAGAAAAAATACATAAATGTCAATAATCATTTTCTCTATAATATATAGAAAGTTAAGACATGAAAGTTTTGTCAATATCAAGTTATCCACATATTTTGCTAATGGAGTTATAATTAAAATCAGAAAAATCCCGAAAATGTTTCTAGTTCTGAAATCTAAGATAGTTAAAATGCAACTTGTATTGATCCGAGCAACTTCTAGAGTTGGACCGACAATTGAAAACTGATTGAATTGGCCCGAAATGAACTCTTTTTAAAAATCTCTCCCTATCTCTCTTTAGCATGATTTTTTAGATCAAGTCAAAACAAGTTGAAATGTATACTAATCCTGGAGTTGTCATAATTCAATACTCACTCGAAGTTCTTGTTTAGTGGTATAATTATCATACTCACTCATTATATATTCATGCAATTTTCATATTATTTTTTTATGTAGTCAATCCTAAGAAATCAATTTTGATAAAGTGTTATCGGTTGAGTATGGGCATGCAAAATCTACTCGAAAACATATGGTGTAATTTGGCACTCTTGTGCCTTATTAAGATGCATCTAGTTTATTTGTCATATTCTCTCCTAGCGACTATCACCTCAAAACATCTTCAATACAGAAAGGATCATCTTAAAAGTATGATCCAAAAAGTCTACAAGATGATTAAAAAAATCTTTGATCGATATCCTAAAATAGCTCATCTAGCTCAATCC